CTGTAACTATGAAGGTATCGAACTTATTAAATCTGCGGTTAGGGCTCATCGCGCGACAGGAATGGTCGAACGAACAATTGGGTCGATAAAAAACTACGTGTTAACTTATCTTCAGGAAGATAAGAACTACAAGTTTGGAGCAATGATATCCCGTGCGCTCAGCGCGTTACGTTTTGTGCCACACTCTAAGACAAAATAACGCCTTTTGAAGCCTATCATGGACGAGAAGCAAATACGGCTCTGCGAAATTTAACGAAAAAACCGTCATTGAAAAATTTAAATTGGAACAATGTTGTTAAACAAAAGTTATTTTGTTTAGACAAGGCGGGAAATCTCCCGGATGTAGAGCTTACCCTAGATTGGGAGAAGAAAAGCGATTTGGTGTGCGCTCCATAAAATAGGAAAGCTCCAATCATTTTGGATGTCGAAGTGGTAGCAGATCCCAAGGCTCAGGAAGTAGTTGACCCCAAGGAAATAAGATCTGTACCTAAAGCTCCAACATGGCTCAAAAAGCACAAAACCAGCTCAACGACCGTAAACCAAAGGACTGGAAATTTGGATCCAAAGGACCCAAGAAGGTATAAACGTTTGTCATTAAAAAATGAAAAATTGACTAAGCATACGGTGCAGATGGAAAAAGGGTCGTTACTAAGGCGGAGTGGTGTTTTTTTGTAGATCGGCGGCCGAAGAAAGCCTAATTGAGAATAGGAGCGATGCGTGCACACCAGGACCTAGTAAAGGAGTACATAGTACCCCGGGCCCAAGTGAACCCACAAAGTGTAAGCGAAGAGCCGAGAAGGATCGGGTCGAGATGGAGAACGCGCGAAGATCAACGAAACAACGTATAGTAGAGTACAGTGCGGACGAGAGCGAGGACGACGAAGATAGCGAGTGGGAAATCGAACGAAACGAACCGGTGAAGATTACGGCGAGCGAAGGAGACGATGTACCGCCGGGAACGGCTAGGGAGAGATCACCAAGAACCGTCGGTGGAAAACAAAAAAAAGGCGGGTGCGAGGCAGCGGCGAGAAAATCAACACGGCAGAGACGCGGAGTTGACAAAATGGGGGGAGTTATGATCCATTGAATAGAGCACAAGTGAGGACAACAGGAAAAAAAGAGAAAACCTTAAGAGAGGTTTGGCAGGTGTGCCTGAAAACTCAATGTAAACTAAAACTTAACTAGTAACATGATCCAATAGAACAACTAACAGTGAGTTGATAAATTTTATATCTACGCTCTAAAATTTATTTGTGGTTGCCCGAATGAGATAGGGACCAGTTTTGAGTTTATGTAAGCGCTATCAATTGTTCGAGATAGGAACCAGTTTGAGTTTATTTAAGTGCTATCAACTTGTTCTTTCTGTCTGGGGACCTGCTGTCGTGACCTTGCGATCTCTAATGTCCGATGGGATCTGAAATAAAAGAGTGCAGTAAGATTTCGATTTAATGCCTAACAGTTTGTCTACAATACAACTTATCAACAACCTTTTTGATCTTATACAGTTACGACTTTAACAGGCTAGAAAATGTTCGCTTCCAATAGTAAATGTAACTTGTCTCCGTTTTCTTACCAGTAAAATTTGGTTCAATTTCAAGTTGATGGTCATTGTTGATTTTTTTGCTTGCAAAACTAGCCTGATTTTGGATCTGCATTTTTTTCGGAAAAGATTAAATTGGCGACTAAAAAAATTTTTTTTGCTGAAGTCTGAAAAAATTTTGTCTATACATTTGAAATGCTGTGTTTCTAGTTCTGGAAATTACTCTGGAAATTTTAGATCTAGAAATAGTTTGATAATTACTTTTCCACTAGCCTCATGTATGTAGTTGAAAATATACAGTTTCGTAGCATTGAATTGAGGGATACGCAATTTTTATCTATGAAGGCAAGCCCGGTTAATTTTTGCTCACACCGGCTATTTTGTTGACTTTCTATGTTTCTCAAGCTCTAAAATTTAAAAAATAATGTATCAGAACAACTTTTAAAGAATCTTTGTACGTTTTTGTTTCAACTTATTAAAGAAGCGACAAAAGTTCGCGCAAATTTTTCATAGCCAGGTCATGCTAGCTGTCGGCATTGAAATCAATCAGCTCAAAAAAATTCTTCAAGTTGAAATCAAGCAAGATATGTGACCGAAAATTGAGCTAGTGAGGCAAACTTTATCATTTTGTACTGGTGTTCTTGAAGAAAAACTCTTTGTTAAAATTTTGTTAGCCTTTTCGATTCTTAAAATTTTTGGTTTTTGGTTAATTATTTACCACATACGTTGCGAGGTAGTCAAAAACTTTAAACTTTGTCCTTATGCTAACACCCATGTTAGTTTTCGCGCAACTACGACGTGAATCATTTAATAAACAATCACTTATTCAAAAAATGCAAAAAAAATAATTTTGTTTCATGTAGCCAGGTGAGCACATTTTTCGAGAATTGAAAATTATGCAAATTGCCATAAAATACATCCGGTATAGAAGTCTCGCAATTAAACTGGCATAAAAAACTAATTCAATTAAGTTTCTTAGAATATGTTTCAATCTGAAAATAGCAGAAACTCAAGCTCTCATGCCTTTCTTCCATTCAATTTGAATTTTATCAGAATTAAATTTTTTTTGGTCTGGAGTTTTTGTCTGAATGCGATTTAAGTCAAATCGGAAATAATCTAAATTCTGAATTGCTCTCAAACTGCAGTTTCAAAAAGTTTTTCTTTTGAAACACAACGCTTCCAATTAAAAATGACAACCACATAATTTAATTTAATTTGAACTAATTACGCTTATTAAACTAAATGAATTTAAATCGACAAAATGTAATATTAAAGACCCAAACTTTAAAGAAAACTTGAGTTTTAGAAGAGAAACAAATCGGGGTTTTTTGAGCTTTTTTGAAAAAATGAAAACAAAAAAGACGAATCTTTTAGCAGTCTGGTTGAACGATCTATTGTTGCATTGCACTAATCTTTATAGCGAGATCTTCTCTTTTTTGCGGAAAATAGAACTCTTACTAACTCAAAATTGCTTTTAAGGATTTTGAAGGAAACTAGGACTTGAATTCCAGCTCGCGTTAAAACTGTGTAACAGAAAAAGCAATAACAATGGCGCTCTTTTCAGTCCTCGTACTCTATTAACTCTAAGAATTAAGGCTGTCTAAACTTGGTTCATCAAGTAACTTGCTCATAGAAAAAATTGATCAACTGTTTTCCTTTTTTAACGCTGAATTGTTTTTGTCTGAATGAAAACAAAAAAAATTGGGGAACCGGAATTAAGTAAGAGTCAGAGAAGGGATTAAAAAGAACAATTCCAAGTCAATCAATCATCAAACTTTTATGGCTTTCAGTTAACAATATCAAACCCATTTGTTGTTTTATTCCATGATGCTAAGATAGTCTTTGAAGCAATTACTTAAAAAGTTACTGAAGGTCGACATGCTAGTGTTTCAGCAGAAAAACATTCATGGAATTGGTTTCAATATCTGTTCGCCTGTTCACTTTTTTTGAAGATCACATAGTCATGGCACAGCCATAGCAATTTTTTTCTACTAAACTACAAGAAAAACTTCAATGACTCTAACAAAAATCCATTTTTTACCTTTCACATTGCAAAAACAAACAAGTTATCAGGTTCTTTTGTCAACTCACCTTAAAATGACAATTTTTTTAAAAAAAATCATTATAGGTTTTAAAATATCCTGTATTTTGTGCCTGTTATACCGAGTTGGTCAAAAAATTGTGTTTCGAAACCTAAAATTGTTCCAAACGTTAACACAAAAGAATGATTTTTTTAACTTTGAGCACAATGCATTTAGTGAACTATTCGAGTGCAGATTAACATATGGGGGCAATGAACCTAAATTACTTTGCGTATTGTGAAATCAAAAGTAAAAGGTGTGAAAAAGTTTTGAATCCTGAGAAAGCAGAAAGTTAGTTCCTAGAAATCCATGATAAAAGAACATTATTGGATGTGCGCTCAATTTAGTCTGTTCAGCGCTCTGGAATCTCGACACAAGTCTTTAAACCAGCCAAAACTTTGTCGTGCCGATCAAAGAAAACGAAAAAAAAAACAAAGAAAGATCAAAAAGAGCGTCCTGGTTGCTGAATCCGCTTCCAATTCACAAAATACAAAGTTTGGCCTCGTGATGAAATAGTCTGGTTTCAAGAAAATTTTTTTTTAAAAAAAGATCAAATATCAACATAACACTTTCATACTTATTTTTAAAGAAAGTCGGACTTGAAAAATCTAAAAGATGAAAAAGTTCTGCGTTTTTCAGGCTTTTAAAAAATTCAACAATATGTGTTTTAAATATGTAAAAAAAACTGATAGATTTAAGTTTGATATTGTTGTTCAGACTTATTTAAAATCCGACTGTTCTTTTATCTTGGAAATTTAGAAACTAATTCTAATTGTCTGCTCTCTCGAGATTTTCAAAAATTTTTACTTTTTCAAAAACATTTTCTGCTTGCACACCTTTTACTTTAGTTTTTCCTAAAACGCGAAGTCATTTTAGTTCCCTGTGAATCTGCACTCGTCTATTTGACCAAATTTCCTTGGCCTAAAATTTTCAAATTTCTTATTCCATTTTGACGCGTGAACGACGAACACCAAGTAAATCGGCTGCAGCGGAACTGTATGATTAGCCATTGCGGTCTATGGAGGTCAACCCGGTTGCTTTATTTGTATGGACCTCCGTCCCTAACTAGACCCCTTGACTACCCAAAGCGACATCGTTTTGGTACCTTTTTAAGAGAGCCATTTTTGGTCGACCAATTATAGTGCCAAAAATTCTAACTGTGAGGAGAAGCATGCGCCAAAAAACGCATTTTTTGGTCAAAATGTTCCAAAACGGCGCGTTTTTGGCCTGTTTTCTTTTCCAAAATTTGCCCTCGGCGCAGAAGTTTTTTGCTAAGTAGTGTCCTATAACACATATAGCCGTTTGACCTTAGGTCGTTAAGGTCTTCAAAATCTTAGATCTGCGTCTCGCTCAAAGCATTTCAAAACTGAGATCAGCTAAATAACTTAAATTGCGAAGCACCATTTAAAACCAAAAACTAGAGCATAAATTATTTACAAAGTTATTCTAACATCAAAAGGTTATTTCTATTTTTTATTTTCTAATTTGGAGACTAGTTTATCGAGCTGCGTCAATCGTTTTCTTCAAGTTTTCTAGTGTCGTAAACATCAAGATGTTCCAGACAATCATTCTAGATCCATTAAAAGATACTCCTCGATAGAAAGATTTAACGCCATTATCCATCCATAACTTCGAGCAGCAATCCCACAAGCTTTTATACTGTCCTGGCTTTGAGTTCGAATAAACTGTTTTTAAACAATCGGCTGGGCTCGAAACTAAAGTCGCTAAAACGCCCGTGCAAATTGAGCAAACTATAAAACACGGCCATTCATCTTTCATAAGATTATTACGTAACACCACGCCTTTGATTATGTCATAGCAACCAATTTCAGCAGTGTTTACTGCCATATTACGTATTGCTCCGGGGAAAGTTCCACGCCATAAGCCTTTTTTCACGCCCTCCGATTGGTGGATTTCTTTGTACGCTTGAATTGTGGACTTATACGTGTCCAGTTTTGCTTGTGTTCGGACTTTTACGACGTCAGTCGGCTGACCAATCAGAACAGCCAGAATTCCAGTCGTGGAAGCCGCTAAAATTTTAACATACTTCGGCGTAAATCTGGCGTCTTCAGAAACGTCGAAAACTTTACAATATTCGTTTTTGACCATATCGTAACAGCCAAATTTAACCGATGCCATAATCATTTGCCGCTGAAAAGCGGCGGTTAAGCACACACGGCCACCAAAAAAGGCGCGAAAACCTCCGTTTTTGTATGTATTTTGGATAATTTTTGAAATTTGTAAGTTCGTAGAGTTAAGAGACGAAGAATTCAAAGCTGGAATTTTGGAAGTTGTTTGCGCTTTCACTTTTAGAGTGTCGAGCGGGATTGAAACTAACTCGGCGGTACAGCCCGCAACTCCGCCGCTGAGAACCTCGGCCACATTTAAGATGTTCGTTCGAAGTTTGTTGTGGTCTCGGGCTTGAGTTGTCGTGGTGGGTCCTCGGGTCGGGCTGGGAATCCGAGTGGGTAAAAGACTCTTCGGAAGCAAAGGCATATTTAACTGTTATGTTTGATTTATAGCTAACTTTCAAGAATTCAGATCATTCTAGAATAAGCACTTTTTAACTTGAGACAAATAATAAATTTGGCCGATTTCCTCAACAAAAATTTATTTGAAGAAAATTTGAAAGTTTTGTTCTTTAAAATGTTCAAGAGAACTTGCTTTGACTTTTTTCAATAATACAACGAGAACTAATGTTTCGCATCCAATTGACGTAATTTTTTTTTCGGCATTAAATTTTTCTTTGCAGTTTATTCGACACCAAAAAGAAAGCAAATCGATCGCAAATAACACGTTTAAAATCTCACTGAAAAATATTCGACAGTATCAAATTAAGAACACGTTTCGTCAGCTGATTGAGATTTTGTACTTTTTGATGCCATTTGGTTGTTCCAAAATTGGAATATAAACGTTGACTTTTAAAATATATCGTATGACTATGATGATGATTATCAGTTCAATCGCATTTTAAAAAGTCTGCTGATTTTTATGAATCGACGTTGTTCTAGATCCTGAAATTAACTTGGCCGTCAATTAAAACTTAACAAAATTTCAAAATGTGATTGAACTTCAAACTTTTACCTCGCTATTTATACCATATTTTATCTTTAAAAGGTGTGTTTACCATGCAAAGTCAAAGCAAACAAAATCCAAATAATAAGTTAATTCTCAAGTTTGAGATAAATTTCTTTGAACATAGAGGTTACGTCATAGAAGTAAAGGCAAATAAAAGGCAACACCTGTTTAAATAAAACTTTGTCGACGGATACAACATTCGACATCAATCATCATCGGGTTCTTGACCTCTTATGGTAAAAGGTGTGTGTATATAACCATCTTCAGTTCAATCTAAAGATCAAAGTTACAAGAAGTCATTTTGATAAATGGGAAAAGATTTCGTGAAAATATAAATAACAATTAACCGAAAAAACTATCTATATTGGGTTTTTGGGCCAGAATGATGGTTGATTCTGTAATTTGAATGAATAAGTTTTTTCAACAAAATTATTCTCAACGTTATTTTGTATATACAGAAATGGAAAGCAAAACATTGATCTATTTTTTGCGATTTCCTTTTAAGGATTTTTTTGATGCACATGTGTTTGAGTGTATCTTGTCCTCTGTAGCTTCAAAATTACCATGTGACAAAAAAGTAAAGGCACTAAATATATTTTTAATTAGAGTTGGTAATTCTGGGACTATATAAACCAGTTGGAGTCTCAGAATTGGCCTCGTGGTTTAAATAACAAGTTTGAAGGAGTAAAAGACAAGAAGGAATAAAAAATAGTTTTAGTAAATCTATCTAGTTTAATACCAGACAAACTCTTATGACCTGAAGCTGGAGGTAAGTTCCGTGGAAAACGAGTTGCAGCAGGCAATTTTGCAACCCTTAGTAAAAGATAAATAATATAACGGTTCATATATCCTTTGAATCTGACCAGAGTTTCTATTTTTAGCCGGGGATTTGGTTTTGAGAAGCCGTCTGTTTCTTCTTAGAAATTTATAAACATTTTGATGAAAAACAATTAGTTCGACTTTTTAGCTGTTTTTTCCAAAATTTCTCTTGATAATCACTGAAGAAAGTTTCCACTAGCTTAGTCAAAATAATGAAAAAAAAAATAGTAAGTTTGAATTAGTTATCAAATCAAAGAAACATTTTTTTTCGAATGGGCAAACAGAAGGATTAGTTGGTAAAAATGCCCCCATTGAACTGTCTGAACTTTTGATCTTGCGGTCGATCTAAAACAGTGCAATTTAAAGTCCAACTATCAATCTTAAAGTTCCTTGAAACCACAAGACGGCTCTAAAGCGTGACGTTTATGAAAGGGAATTGAAAGTTCATGTAGCTCCGCGAATTCCATGGTTGAATAAATATAAGTGCTCAATGCCATTATTTCAATTTTCTGTTTTTCTCGCGTGATCATTCACTCTAGTTTGGCCATAAAACCTACCATGCGTTTAAATTGTAAAGTTTTTTTTAGTAAAACAAATAAAGTTTTTTTTAAAGAAAAACGTTTTTTTTTAATCAAAGTAAGTAAACCAGTATAAGCCTAAGTATGCCAAAGAAAGAAACAACTATTACAAATGTCGTTTCTGAAATATATTTCGGTTCAAAGACGAACCTCGAGTTTTGACTTTTGAGGTCAAAAACTATGCATTCTGTCTGCCGGGGTTGAGGTCATGGGTTCAGGTTTAGGCTGTGATGGACCAAAACTTGGTTTGTTTAGACCTCGAGGACCAAAAAATGTTGGCCTCAGAGCATGGTGTCTGTAAAAAATCCGGTTTGATACCGTGGATACCGACAAAATTCCGGGATCTACTTAACAATCGCCCTCACTTTGATATCTACTAAAAGAGTTGCCAACCCTATAAATGAACGGTAATTTAGCACCAGAACGTTTTAATTATTATTCGAATTTTGCTGCATTCTGATTGTTCTGAAATACGACAACTTAGTCTACTTAACAATTGCCCCCTTTTTAATCTACTTTACAATTGCCCCCTTTTTAATCTACTTTACAATTGCCCCCTTTTTATTTTACTTAACAATTGACGTAGGCATCTTTTTGAATAAACAGGTCAAAAAAGTTGTTTTTGAGCACTTTTTGGTAAATTTTGACCTAAAAATTGTTTTTTTTTGGCGCGCACTTTCCTTCAAAGATAGTATGTATTGGCGCCAAAGGCGCCTTTGGGAAACTTTTTGGGTTGGTCGGCCGAAAATGGATTTCCCTGGTCGAATCCCTGAGGGTAGGGGGGAGGGGGCGTCGTCTCCCCGCATCCCCCTAAACCCAACCCTGCGCAAAACCTAAGGTTATTTAGTTATATATGTATGGATGTTTTCATTTCGGTCACTCCGTCACTTGTGTTCATTTTTTACTAGTCTTTATTCATTAATTGATAAATAAGCTGGAAAATTGGAGCAGCAAAAACTTTGTTACTTTTGTACCATATTTCAAAATAAGGTCTTGCTGTTGTAAAAATAGATAATGATGTGATAATATGACCTGGCAAGAAATTTGTTGAACAATAAAAAAAATTGTATGAAAGAATAGGAAAAAGAGGGAGAGGAAAAGAACGGTCATTTATTCTGAGATAGACACCTGAGGCTCTATATACGCCATAGTTTACTATCTTGAGCGAATGATTGAATAGGTACAGGAAATCGATTAGGAATTTTTTATGGTGGAGGTCCTCCATAACCATGGAGGACTCTTCCAGATTCGCGCAATTTTTTTTATTTTTCTTTTCGTAGATTAGGTTGACCGAAATTTGCTTCGCCAATCATCAATAAATACTAAAAAAAATTCCAAAAATTGGGCGTTAAAAAACATCAATTTGGATCAAATTATCTATCAAATTATCAGCCAACTACGCATTTTAGAACCGCCGTATTATTTAGAACTTGAAAAATTATACTTTTAATTTTGTTGTGAATAATTGACAAGCTGTTTGAAGTACAACTAAACGTGTTTAGTAGCACTGGTAAAATTTTGATAAAGGTATGACCAACAAATTAAATTTAAAGCGAAAAAAGTTTTTTAAGAGAGGAAGTTGTTTATATTCGTGTCGAAGAAGAAAGCCTTGAAATTGTATCCCGTTTGGTAAAAACAATAATCAAAGAGGGATAAAATGTCATTTGATTAACAAATTAGGTAAACACGCTGAAGATCTATATTTAGCTAATTTTAAACTCCTTTTAAGGTCAACCGGTTAGTAAAAAGCAAAACAAAATAGGTTTAAATGGCATTGAAAGTTCGTTCTAAGATTGCTCGGCTGTAAAAAAGAAATCTTTGAAAAAAAATCAAAAATGAGCTTTAAAATGAAATTAAGCTTTCAGTTATACTTTGTATTTCACCAAAAATTTTGAAGAAAAGCAAGATGGTCGCGTCGAGGTTTTTGTTCTGAGGAAATTGATTAGATCAGTATTGTTGTCGATGACTTGTCAGAAATTAATCAAACAACTGATTGCGTCGTTTGAGGTGTCATGCTGCGGCTTTTTCTAATTGCATTCACAACTCTCGTGAAAAAAAAGCGTCGAAACAAGCGTAATTATTGTTTCTTGTTCTTTTTTCCGATATTTTATCTTCACTACGTATTACATCCTGTGTGTCTTCCACCAAAATATATAGAAAAAGAATAATTCTTTTTGAAAAAAAATGTAATATCTTCGAATGATATGAGGTAAAATCACTATGATTTTCATCCATTTTTTTATAATTTAGAGTTTTTATCGGTTTGAAAAACGAGATTTTATGTTTTTAATCTTAGCAAAAACTTATCAAAAAAATAAGTAGCAAAGGTATGGTGATCATACCTTTGTTTATCAAACCGAAAGAATGTTGTATATTGACAACTGATTAGGTTTATGATAAGACCAACCTTTTACCAAACCCAGTCTTTACAAGACAACAAAATAGTAAGTTAGGTAAAACACTAAACTCAGACGCCGCTTTGGTTCCGCTGCGCCGCTTATACTCAGCACGAGATGTATCTTGCTCAAGGATTAGTGTTCAACACTACATCATTCAAAATTTAGTTCCACTCGAGATTCAAAAAGGAAATGGTCAAAGCAACCAAAATGCTGCTGAGAACTCATCTGATAATTCTCTTTAACGAGACTAAAATTCTTTACTGCATCATTTGTATTGTAATGTTTTTCCATTTTGGTAAAAAGCAGGTCTTGTAACAAAAAATGTCATCAATTGGCAAGTAATAATCAAATTCAAGTAAATTTTTGGCAATTTTGGGCACTTACCTATGCGCTCCGGTTGGTGCGGGTAATTTGTATCGTTTGCTATTGAATAATTTGTATCGTTTGCTATTGAATTGTACAGTCATCGGTGCCAATTTTTTAGTAGAACGGTTTTTGCATAAATTTAAAACAAGAGAGGTTATGCAGCCTTAGCAGATTTTGACTGACAGACTAGTATTTGACCTAAAAACTGATATACCGAAGTCAAAGGGTGCATAACCTGGGTCTCAGCTTCCCAAATAAAAACAATCATCTCACCGTTTGTCAACAAAACTCTAAGCAAAACAAACTAGTTCAGCGGCAAACACTGATTCACGCCAACAATTCCTCTCGTGTCAAGTGTACGCGCAGTGGAGCTAGCGGCTTTTTTTGTCAATACCGCGTTTGAAGTTAGAGATCTGACTTGTTTTTTTTTTGAGTCTGCTAAAAATTAATCTGCTAAAAAACCGGTCTGCTACATGTTGTATTCAGATATACTTGCATTTTTTCCAAACATGAAAAAACACTGAATATTCACTTTGGTTTTTATCAAAATCATCGCTGTTTTTGCTGATGGATTATTTTCAATCAATTTTCAAAATTTATGGAAATTTTTTGAATCATAGGATTTTTCTAATGCCGTTGTTGCCTTTAGAGAAGTTTCCCGGGTTGAAAATAACTTGTTATACAACTTCCAAATATGAAAAACTTCTTACCATACAATTTCAAACGGTTCCATCGTACAGAAAATTGTATGAAAATTCTATGTAAAACATTTTTTTGTATAAGAAAATTATATGATAAATATTTTTCCATAAACCCAAAAAAAATTTATTTCAATTTCTGATTTTATTCTAGATTGTTTTCGTAACTGGACGCAAATGACAAAGGCCCTGGTTTACTCAAAGCCGGAGTAACCAGAGATGGACGGTCTCGCATTTGTAATGCTCAGAAAATGACCTGAATTGTCTTACTCAAATGATATAACGAAAGTGACTAACTTTTATATTTTGGCAAAAATTTTCAACGCTGATTATTTTCAAAATTTGAACTTTTAATTTATCAGACATTAATCAAGGCATTCAAAAAAATGCCATAAAACAAAAAAGAAGTTTGTAGCGTTTTTGAACAAATTTTTTTTTGGAAAATGATTGTTTGAGTACAAAATTCGATTTGCGATTGAAAAAAAAACACAAAGAAAATTTGAGGTTCATATCGCCATCAAAAAAAATACTAGTCATACAAATTCCTCTTATGTTAAGTTCATGACTAGCATTTTTGACAAAAAATTTTTCTTTTTTAATTAGTACGAAACGCCGATTTTTATGCCGAACCAAAAATTTTTTTTTGAAATTGGATGACAACCGTTTAGCAAATTGTATGAAGTTTTTATGATTAGTGTTCTATAAGTCTTAGTTTATGGAATTGTATGATTAGCGTTTTCGATCTATGAAGGTCAATCTGGCTTATTAACCTTTCAAGGAACAAAATGTTTGCATGAGGCAGCTAATTTCTAATCTGCTTCTCGAGTTATAAGGTTTGCAGTGGTTTTCCTCAACGGGTTGAACTGCTGCTGTGTTCCGTATAGGCCCAAGGGGAACAATTATTACATTCTCATCAAATTTGCTCGAGGTGCTGAAATATTCGCAAAACAATTTCTTCTTGTTTTCAGGGAGAACCATTTTTAAAGCAAATTTAAAATCCTCGCAAAAATTGTAAATCTGCATTGCTTTAGGTGTTTCCTGACTAGTTGATTCCATGCAGTTGCTGCTTGCCAGTACCACATTTTAATTTGCTATTTTATCGATTCCATAAAACTACAGAGTTGTATTTAAAAAAAAAAACACACGACACCAAGTTGGCTCTGCTTTTTTGAATTGAAATCACGAAAACTCATCACGAAATGAAATCACGAAATTAGAATGCTTCCAAGTTCCATCCATTGCTGGCTTTTTTTCTTTTAAAAACGTGTCTCTGAAGAGATTTGAGTTAATTTTTTCAAACTGACTTTTGTTTTAGGTTGATTACTTCAGAAAAACTCAAGATCACCAGTCAGATGCAGAATACCAACAGCAGCAACTAAGATCCAACATCGAATCAAGGTCAGACAAAGTTCTTACCAAAAAACAACATTTAATTATTTGGGTTTTTTTTCAAATTGCGTAATCAGATTTTTGTTTGCACTTTTCTATCTTGACTTATATCAGAGCTGATTTTTACAAAAATGTGCTGTGCGATTAAGGAACAAACAATGTGAGTTTCAAAAAAAATCATAAAAAAATCAGACATTGAAAACAAGGATAGCCGGTTACTGTGCAAGTAGCACAGAATGTTCCGACCACAGTCTTTAAGAAACTACAAAATAAAACTTTTTTTTTCAAATTAGTTTTTCTGCGTGGGGTGATAAAAAAGTGTGACGTAAAACTAAATATGAGGCATAAAACTAAATATTTGAGGCAAACATTTATTAGAAAGATGACTAGAAAAACAAAAGTAGAAAAATTCAAAAGATTTCAATTTTTTTTTGCAGAAAATTAATAATTTTTTGCAGTTTTTGGTTCCCAGAATTGAGCTACAAAACTCCAAAATTTTTTTTACTTGCTTAAAATTAAGTTTTAGCGCTTAAATTTTAAATTTCTCTTAATTAAGTTGTTGTAAGCCTGCTCGCCTGCTTTATTCGCTCGAATTAAGACGAAAAAATCATTAATTTTTTCAACACAGGAAAATTTTTTGGAAACTTTTTAATGTTGTTCGATTCACGACTGAAAGGGTTTTAATATGATTTAAAATTTATTAATCACTCAACTCAGTCCGATTATTATTTGTGGTAGCTGGTTAAAAACTAAAACACACCCGAAATTGTGTGATTTAAAAGTGACAAAATATTTTGGATTTTACATTATTTAGATTTATTGGGGAAAAAAATTTACTTTTAGTTTTACAAAAACTATCGACAATATAATCGATTATTGATGCCAATTTTAAAAACTACATCCATATTTATCTTCCAATCTTGTTTAGACTGTTGGAGGTGCGTGACTCTTTGGTGGATCTTCGCAACAGATTCATGAAAGAGGAAAGCGAGCGGAGAAACACAGAACAAGCATTCACCAAAAGGTTAACTCGATTTCGCCAGAAAATCATCATGGATTTTTTGTACGATTAACAAAAACGTATTGCATAAATACTGTTCAACAACAGTATATGTTTTCTATTCAAAAATTGAGTTTTTTTACACTTGAACACTGTGAAGTAAATTTTAGACAAAAGATCAAAAGTTACCAAAAATTCAATTTTCTATTTTTTGTTATGTTGACTTTTTTTCCTTTTAAGATTATCAAAACTTTTGTTTTCCAGAAAATTTTACCTATTGTTTCTACAAGTGCTTTGGCTCAATCAGATTCTGGCTGTCATTTTTTGAAAAGTTCCCTTTTTTCTAAAGTCTATCAGAGCTTGAACTTAAAAAAGCGAATTATCAGACCGAAAAAATGCCACATTTTTCAACTACTATTTCCTTCTTAGTCAAAAATTCCTGTGCACGCTTCAGGAATGAAAAATTTAAAATTACTTTCTAGATTGTCGGAAGAACATACGCAAATAGCAGACCAGAGCAGACAGATGGACGATCTCAGACACGAACTGGCTAGACTGTCCTCGTCTACGAATCAGGCATTCGACAGGTAAGAGTTGAAGACAATTAAATTTCGTGCAAAAGTTCTCAAAACTTTCAATCACACGGCTTCTCTCAATTGAATGGCTTGAATCGAACGGCTTCTTTGTTCAATCAACTACTCCTGAAACTTTCAAACTCGTCCTTACCTCTTTTTAAGTCCGAATTAGCGCCTTAAAGGATGAAACATTCAACCAAAAGTGAGCGATTAATACGACATAGTTGCCTGATTTCAACAGGTAACAAAAGAGGTCAAGTGGGAGCTGAAAACTAAACCCCTATCGAGTTATAAGATGTTTATAGAGAAATGAAGTGTACCTGAAATTCCCTAAAACCACCTCCCCCCCCCCCCCCAAATAAATTAACTCTTGACTGTTTTTACTTTATGATATAGGGAGCGTGTGGAGTTTGGGGAGCGTGTGATGAAGAGCGAGGAAGACCAGAAGAGGAAGTTGTATGCTTTGGAAGTGGCACTCAAAAACGACCTCCTGGGAAGAATCTCAGAGTTCGAAAAAGTAAAGGAAACTATAGAAGTCTAAGAAGCGTTTTTCAAGCTCCCAGTCATTTCCTATTTCCGCCACAGTTACTTCCGCTCCAGTCATAAAAACCACCACAGAAATGAGTGCTTTTGCGGCGGAAATGACTGCTTTTTTTTGGGGGGGGGGGAGTGTCTGGTCACGACTTTTCATAATAAGCCAGTCATAATTTAGTGCGTTTCATGCAAAAAAGTGCTCTGTTTCTGTCTATCACTTTTTCATATTTTAAAATCCAAATAATCTATAATAATTTTCCGAAACCAAAACGTTTTTTTTTTTGAAACGTAAACATTTTTTTGATTGATTCATGTTTTTCCAAACCCCAAAAATTTTACTCTTGTATAAAATGTTGGCCTGTTATTTTGTTGTGTTTTTAGATGTACCAATCGGAGAAGGAGCACCGACATGCATCTGAGAAAGTGCTGCGTGATGAGTCACATGGTGCACTTAGTGAGATGCAGAAGAAGATGGATGCTGAGATTGGGGAACTCAAGAAGAAGATCAAGGTTAGTCACCAATAGCCCAAAAATCAACCAATATCACCACTAAACTAAACCAAAAAAGAAACCAAAAATCATTCAGACCACAATTTTTTAAAAATGCAGTTTTTTTTGCGCTAGAAAATTCATAAATGGCGGCACTTTTCAAAAAAAAAGTTTGGCATAGCGTGCGAACAAAATAAAACTCAAACGATATTGTCAGTTTTGCCCACTTTTTACCTGAGAAACGGGACAAATGTGGCATGATTGCATTTCAATTATCCTTATTCAGTGAACCTTCTTCGATGAAACTTAATCAATGAACCTTAGAGAGTGAACAAACCAGTAGTATTGTATCGTGTCCCGGATCCTAAGGGGGGGGTCCTTCCTAAGGGGGGGGGGTCCTCACGTAAAGCAAAATCCTAGGAAAGGGGTCCTTAATTTTTTGGAGGACCCCTATCCTAGGATTTTGTAAATGATCGCAAGTTCCCACCCCTAAAGTAAAAGACCCCCTCCTTAGGATCTTGTTAAGCTGAGCTCAACAACCGGGACGCGATACAATAATTCCTTCTAATTCCTTTGAAAGCGGTCCCTTTTCCCGCGATAATTAAAATTAATCGTCCTAATTCCTGAACTTTTCTTTTTTCGTCCTAGTTTCATGTGGATATCATTTCCTGGCTTTCTTTCTTTTCGTCAAAGATTTGTCATGCTATTAAAGTTTATTATTCAAAACAAGCCTAAGGATTTCACACATTTGTTTGAATTAACACTTGGTTTGTGTCTACTAGTTTATTTGCCTGAAGCTATTTATGTTAAAACAGTGATTGAGCTCAATACGAGTATTTTATTAGTTGTAAATTGGTAAAAACCAAAACATATACAAGTCGAAGTATAAAAAGGACGAAGAGTAAAAATCATCTGAAAATATATGTTTCAGACTTTAATGTTTATTGTTTTGGTTTTCTTTGCGGTGTTTTTTAGATGGTCGTTCTTCTGAAGCTTCAGATAAAATAAATGGGTTTTTTATAGGGGGACGTTCACGGACTCGGCTACTAGAAGTTTCTTCTTCTTCTTGCAGCTCTGCTTCTGAGTAGGGCCGCTGTAAAAATCCCCAATCCGGGAGTGTAAAATCGGGAGAACTGTTATCAGTTTCATTGTATGAGTTGGCCCACTCGGTGTCCATGTAAATGTCTTCTAGAAAAGCATTTTCTTCAGCGGCTTTATGGCCAAAGGGCACTGTCGAAATTCCGTCGAAAAGTAGAAAACGTTTTGAGTCGAATGGTGATAATGCAAGTTTGTTTTGTTTCACTGTCATATTGGTGTGACCTTTCGAAACTATATTATAGTTGTATACTCTCATTGTTTTTCCAGTGAATAATGTGTCCCTGAAGGTTTGGTGGACCAGTTCTCTCTGTGCACTCCGTTTAATTCCTTTGGCACTCAATTTTTGAGTGCCTTCTAAACAATAGCAAAATTATTATTCTTTTCTACAACGTTGGGGATAGCTTCATTTCACTTCAGCAACTCAATTTATACCGAACAAAATTTGATTCATTTTACCAAAAAAGAGCAGAAGACTCTAAATTATGATTAAAAAAGAGGAAACAAGAGGGAATATGTTGTCAGATAAATCAACGTTTAGGCAACATTGTATAATGTTGCCTAAATCAGCTAAATGCCCATAGTTTAATGCAACAAATTAAGGGGTGTAGGTAGGTTGGTGGTGGTATTTTTGTTCTGTAAAAGGTAGGAATGGGGGGTGGAAGGGTGGCTTAAATTTTATTTACCATTAAGGACGACCGAATATAGTTTCGGTTTTAGGGCGATGAATTCTCTGATCGGCTTCCCACCAGTCTCGTCTTTGAACTTCAGCACAACTTTCTTGTTGGTATCCTCGAACAAGAAATCGTCCTTATCGTAATTTGAAAAGTCGAAATCAGCTTTTATTTTCTCCAAGTCTCGGTAAACGTCATCAGTTTTTATGGCGTAAATAAAACTATCCGTGTCGGAGTAAAGGAGTTCCAAGTTTAGATTTGGTTTCATTTTTTGATAGTGAAACTGAAACATGAAACGCTTGGCGAGGTCTAGGATGGTCGCACCAACTATCATAGGTTTATCCCACAATATTTTTGTTACTGAAAAGCTAATTGTGGCTAATTGATCGTCAATGATTTGAAAGCTTTTCATTGTGCTCAGAGCTGTTTTTTGTAAAAGTTCTCTCTCATTCCTTACAATCTCCAGCTTCTTTCTTCCTAACTTAGACTCCATTGTCTTACCGAAAGCTGAATTAACAATTAGCTTGTAGAAGTTCTCCTGGAATTTATTTACCGCGGCTTTTCGTAGGCGGGTGTTGAGGTCGACAAAGGGTGCCATCCAGTGACTTTGGCGGAACTGAAGAACTTTTCCGAGGTGAGTTATTTTCATTCCTAGCTCATGGTACAATTTTAGGGTAAGGTAGTGCAAAACATAACCTTCTTTAGGATGCAAGGTCTGTAGAAGCTTTGGCACTTTTGGCAGTGTGGTGATTCCCAATTTTCCCAACATGTCGACTTGCTCGTTGCTCATTGCACCGATGTCCACTACTTCACGAGAGGGGGCAAGGGGGTAATCAGCAAAGAAGTCGTGAAGCTCTTCGGGTATGGTTAAATTGACTTCAACTATATAACCCCATTCTGATGTTTCGCTGGTGAGCAGTATGTCTGCCAGACTTTTTTCAACTATTGAAAAATCGTTTAAGGGCAAAGGGCAGTGTTTCATTATCCCCCCGTACAAATTGTTTGCATCAATATTGAGGATGTAGCTTGATGGTTCTGAGGGCGAAAAATCGTCGAGGTATTTATTGTTTGCTTTGTAAAATCGGCGCGCGTAAATCGACGACATGCCTCCTCGTATCATTCGCTGCACAAGGTCTAGATGTTCACGGTCCGTTAAGAGTTTCAGTTCGGGCTTACAAACTTTTAGAAAGGCGTCCCCGGAAAGGTTACTTGCCGTGAAGTAACAGGCGCAATCCAGCCCGTATGTTTGATAGCAAACTTCACGAAAAGCTTCGAAAACGGAAGCAAGCAATAGCACATCTGTAGTCAAGTACAAGTCGTGGTAATCACCAAGTGAGCCACACTTCAGTTCGGTGAAAACTTTAAGGGCATGATTGTACTCGCTTCTTGAAACACTCACATCCCCTCCTGTTAGACTATTTTTCCACATTGCTCGTGGGGGAAGGCGAGTTTCTCGGAATTTTTCGAATGAGTTGAAGTATGAGTAGGGGTAATGCCCTTTCTGTTTCAACAGACTGACTTTTTCACGTGAGTGACCGAGTTTTTCAAAATAGTTCTCCAGCAGAAAAAACTTTTCGTTGGGCAAATTATCGACAAGTTTTGCCAACGATGCCAGCATGAACCTATACGAATCGATGAATCTCAGATTTTCGTAGAGTTTTTTGATTTTTCCGTTTTTGTCCGTGTACGTTTTTATGTAGACTGAGATTGTCAAGGATATATATTTTTCTTCAGATGCGGGTATTACGGAAAAAGTGTTTTCCGAATCGCTTTTTGCCAGCGCTTTGATTATAAAGTGTAAATCATAATTTGACAAATTATGAGCTACCACTGGAATGTAATTTGTTGTTTTTCTATTAACGTTACACTCATTGTGTGCCCAACCCAGAAACTTGTTGGTGTAATGGCAATGATCAAGTACCACTTGATCATTGTCGGAAAAATCATTCTCGCATATCCAACAAATTGTAGCATCTTCCCGTTCCTGGTCTGTTATACCAGTGAAAGTGTAATATTTCCTTTTTTCTACGTAAATTTGTCTCGCTAACGATTCAAGGGAGCTAATTAGCTCTTCCATCACATTCGGTCCTATTTTAAGCTCAAACTTTAACAGGTCTTTTTTCCCAAATTCGATTACTGCTAACGCGTAGCCGCACGGTTGATGGATTTCAATTGTTTGCGTGCTAGATTTTCGCGGATCAGGTTGCGGTCCGTATACTGGTAAGAGCTGTGACTCCAAATCAAAGTAGATTACTCTGGGTACGTACCAACGAGCTGTTAAGTTTTTGAACTTGTGGTCATCTTTTCCCGGCTTGGGCATTGTTATGACGACATCTTCGTCTTGGTAGCACAGTTCTTGATGTCTTCTCAAAGTTTCGAATGAAGCGCATGTGTGGAAACATTTGCGACAAATCTCAGATTGAAATCGGTGCACTTTGTGCCGCACGTACTCGACCAGTTTCTGGAGATCACTTATCAACACATAGTGATATTTTGATCCATCTGTCAGCAGCAACAAGTCCACAATCAGGCTAGTAGTGAATCTGCTTGATACTCTTATGGGCAACAATTCGCCATCGTTGTACCTGAACAGAAAAATAATTTTTATACCTAGGTTTGAAATGAAATAAAAAGGGTGTTTGAATAGGTGAAGAACATTATTGAAGGAATTTTAAAATTTTTAGAAGGAAATTAGAATTTGCTTACCGGAAGACGTTGATTTGACAATTGTTCAACTTTTCAAATCTGTCCATATCCATCAGACCCATTGGCATTTCGTATTCCCCATTGATTTTCACAATTCCTTCTTTGTCGAGATTGTAGGTTGAGACTTTGTTTTTCTCCAGCCACCGTCTAGATGTGGGGTAGAGGGCCGGCTCATTCACATTGTGATATGCGGCAACAAAGGAGTAGAGAAAGCAACGGTCATCATCTTTAGTGTTGATATTTGTGAGCAGAGTAGATGCTGCGCTGAGTGCATCAGGTAGCTCGAGGTAGGATCCTGCTCTTATTGGTGAGAAGGCCGCGAAACTGATTTGCAATTTTTCAATTCTGTCAATAATCCATCCGCTACCATGAGAAGAGAACGAATTGACTTGGTTGACCATATGTTCAATCAGTTCCAAGAATTGAACCCCAGCTATTCCCTCGAAGTACACTGTCAATGTCTTAGTGTTCAGAAACAGCATGGTCCTTTCGAAGTTTCCACTGTCCCCGTCTTGCACAGTGGGAATTTTGATCATTCCCACTTCC